ACGGCCAGTCCGGGAGCACGTACAGATCGCCACACGCTGCCCTCCAGGAATAAAGGTATCAACCCAGACATCCTGAATGGCAGCGTTGCTCACCAAGTTCATCGAGAACGTGGGGAGGTGGAGACCTGACAGAGTGTCGGAGGGGACTGTTGGACAAGGGAGGACCGTGGAGGCTCTCGCAACTACTGGGCCCCCAGAGGGATCAGCCAGTGAGACTGGGACAGGTGCTGTGAGTGGTGTGACTGTGGTGCAATCACAAAAGAAGCAACGTGACGCACCTGAGTCAAGCGTGAAAGTGTGCAAGACCTCAGCTGAGGCAGGACCTGTGGTAGGAGACGCACTAGCACCTAGAGCGTCGGCAGACGCACGGGCACCTAGAGCTGCAGCAGACTCACTAGCACCTGGAGCGGCAGCAGACTCACTAGCACCTGGAGTAGCAGCAGACTCACTAGCACCAAGAGCAGCAGTCTTAACAAAATGATAACCTCCACCACCAGGACGACCTCGCTGAATAACCCACTCACGAAGCTGCTGAGGGGTGGGGTTGTCCGGGAGAAGCAGTGCCCGCTGCTGTCTACCCCTGACCGCAGCAACTGCCGCGGAAGTGTCCATGACAGACAGTGACGGTCAGGAGTAGGTCCAGCACCTCCAGCTCCTACAGCACCAGCAGCACCTCCTGCACTCCCAGCAGCACCTCCACCAGCAGCAGCAGTAGTAGTTTTTTTTTTTTTTTTTTTTTTTTTTTTTAGGGTTTAGGGTTGCGCGCGGCCCAGGGGCTGCAGGGGCGACGCGCGGCTCGGCAGGGCGGCGCGTGGGCTACAGGGGCAGCGCCCACGGGCTGTAGGGGCGACGTGCAGCTCAGCAGAGCGGCGCGCGGGCTGTAGGGGCGGCGCGCGGCTCGGCAGGGCGGCGCCCAGGCTGCAGGGGCGACGCTCGGCTCGGCAGGGCGGCGCTCGGGCTGCAGGGGCAGCGCCCACGGGCTGCAGGGGCGACGTGCGGCTCCGCAGGGCGGCGTACGGGCTGCAGGGGCGACGCGCGGCTCTGCAGGGCGGCGTACGGGCTGCAGGGGCAGCGCCCACGGGCTGCAGGGGCAACGCGCGGCTCGGCAGGGCGGCGCGCGGGCTGCAGGGGCAGCTCCCACGGGCTGCAAGGGCGACGCGCGGCTCGGCATGGCGGCACGCGGGCTGCAGAGGCAGCGCCCACGGGCTGCAGGGGCGAACGCGCGGGCTGCAGGGGCAGCACGCGGGCCACAGGGGCAGGCACGGCTGCAGGGGCAGCACGAACGCAGGGGCAGGCACGGCTGCAGGGGCAGCACGGTCGCAGGGGCAGGCACGGCTGCAGGGGCAGCACGGTCGCAGGGGCGAGTACGGCTGCAGGGGTAGCGCGGTCGCAGGGGCAGCACGCGGGCTGCAAGGGCAGCGCGGCTGCAGGGGCAGCGTAGGAAGAAAAATGTTCGGTTAGGGCAGGGCGGAACGTTCGGTGGGCCCTAGGAACGATTCTGCTCTAGTACCATGTTAGAATAAGCAAGAGTAAATGAGTGAACTAGGCAAGAGGTGAGTACAAGCAGGGGAAACCTAACCCTAAAGTGTTGTACTCACTAAGGAGTGACCTTACTGTAGCCTAGAGATACAATTGTAATCTGACAAATATAACATTCTGACAGAAGGTGCTAGGGAAATTTGGGAGAGTGGGGCTGGGAGAGGCGAGGGTACTCTGGCCTGTAAGGGTAATAATCAGTGCACACTGATCTGGACAGGGTAGAAAAAACTCCACACTTATAAGTGGCGCCTCTATCTGGAGCATGGCGCTTATGGCCGGACCTCGATTAGAAGCGCCCCCCCTGAGATTTCTGTACTTATTATAAGCGCCACCCTTGAATTATTATAAGTCTTTTAAGAAACAATTACATTGAAATCACTTACATGACACTTCTAGACAGCAGCTACAACATCAGTGACCCGAATCAGCAAGTCTAGCAACATCACTTCTACCTAACAAGTCTACTCATCGTCAGATTCGGGCTCCTCGCAGTTGTTCCCAAAAAACCCATCAGCGATGATGTCATCGTCGACATCCACTTCCGCTGTCAGCTGGCTCCGCCTGTGCGCCATGGCGAGGCCGTCCTCACTGCCGTCGAGCGCGTTGCTGATGCCACAGGTGAGGAAGGATCGCTTTATCAGCTCGGCCGGCACTGACTTCCAGGCCTGAGATATCCACCTCAGGACGACCTCCGCAGGCGGCTTCTTCAAATTCCCTGAAACATTACGGGAGAACGGTGGAAACCCGTCAGTCAAACAACAAAAGATACCGTAAACAAGGGGAGGGGGGGGGTAAACACAACCGTGCTCATTCCATACCTGCTGCCGTCAGCTGCTCTTGACCTTCTGCCTCAAACCACCTCTGGTACTGCTGGCGAACCGACGCTTTAAAGCTCTTGTTGATGGAGACATCTAGCGGCTGTACCTCCGCCGTACAGCCCGACGGGATGATTGCCGGCACGCAGTTCATCTCGCGGAGCTTGTCCTTCACTTCCTGGGTGAGGTGACCACGGTAAGAGTCCAGCACCAGCATCGAGCTCTTGGCGTGTCTGCCGAACTTGGGCTTCAAGAAAGGCTTGACGCCCTCCTCAAGCCAGCGAACGACGCCCGCGGAGTCCATCCACCCGTTCTCTTGTGCAGCCACAACCACATCTGCAGGAATCATTTTTGACCAGTTAGAATTCGCAGTCGGAAGCATGGCGCAGTTAACGAGCAGTGCACCTACCGTATTGACTTACCGGGTGGGAAATTGCCCTTAGGCACGGTCTTGCGCTTGAAGTACACCCACGGCTTCAGCTTCAATCCGTCCGCCGTGCACGCCAACATCACGGTCACACGCTGCTTCTGATAGCCCGCGCTCCTGATAGGCACCGAGCGAACACCTGTTTCATCCACGGTGGTGGTGGCGGGCATCTCCAGCCAGAGCGGTGTCTGGTCCGCGTTGATGATCCACGCGGTGTCGATGCCGCGCTCACGACGCTTGGCACGCACGAACTTCCAGAAGCTCTTGCACTGCTCGGCGACATCTAAAGGGCGGTGGAAGGGAGGACGGACACACATGGCGGGTGTTAGTACAACAATTTAAAAATCACAGGGCAAAGTACACGGGGTAACTCTTACGCGCGGCGGTTTTCTGGGCAACCCGGGTCTTCATGCGGACGCTCAGATTCCATCGACGCCGAAAGCGCTGCGACCACCTCTGGCTTCCTTTCCACGGCTTGTCCGGGTACAGCAGCCTCATGTACTCCCGCGACCACTCCTGCAGGCGGCCGACTGATACGGCAGTTCCCTTGCGGCGCCACTCGAGAAGTTTCTCGTACACCTTCAACTCCATAGGCCGGTACCACGACGCTCGCCCGCGGCCGTGCATGCGCTTCCAAGCGGAATGAACTTCCTTGAGGAATTCAGACGCCCGCTTCCAGTTGGTGAGGCACTTGGGGTGGATTCCGCTCTCGCGAGACAATTGGCGCACCGACACCGCCAAAGCAAGCTTGGCAACCCACTTCAACTTCTCCGCGGCGGTGTAATCATGCCTCTTGTGGTCGGTGAGCTTGTGCCTGGGAGAGGGGGGGCGGGCATCACGGTTCTGGGTAGAGGGGTGGGGTCGCTTGCGATTGATCGGGGGATAGGAAGGTATCGGCAAGGTCTCGGGAAGCCCGTCGCGAGACCAGTACTCCACGCCATCGTCGGCATCGTCGCCGGGAACGCCTTCTGGAAAAACATCTTCAGCGGAGCCGCCCTCGGCGCCGCCCCCGGCGCTCGCCTCCGTGCCACCCTCGCCGGCGTAAGCGCCGCTCGCTTCCTCAGCGTCAGCATCAGCTTCCTCAGCAACATCATCGTCGGCGCCGACTGCAGATTCGTCCCACGGGCAATCGTCAGGCTGTCCCCACCTTGAACCAGGCACGTACTCCACTTCGACCTCCTCATCTTGCGCCTTGTCAGACTCTGGTTCGGAGATCCATTCGTCAAACGCCGATGGGAGCAGCAGCGTGAGCACGGGCTCTGCTCCAGCGTGTAGCGGAGGCACAGGACCCTGAGTAGACAAGGGAACAGGAGGAAGAGGAGGCTCAGGAGGTGCAGGAGGCGAAGGAGGAGCAGGAGGCGCAGGAGGCGCAGGAGGCTGTGGTGGCTCTGGTGGTGATGGTGGGACACGGGAGTACCACCCGTCTGCGTCTACTCTAAACGAGGGCTTGCGCGTAGGCTTTTTCTTGAACAAGAAGTGCGTGCCGCTGAATTCCGCCATGGCTTCCGCAGCATGGCGAGAGTGGCCAAGAACCAAGAACGGGAAACTGAATGAATGGATGAACAAATGAAGGATTCAAAGGGACCCCTTCTGGCTAGCGCCACGGGGTCCTCGTCGTGGAGAGACGGGTGTCCCCTGTCTAAACCCGGAGAGGAGGGTATCGCGCCACGCACGATGCTGCGCTGGCAGGGCATTCCAGCCGCTTCTAGATGGTTCGGGTGAATTGCAGCTGCCACCCAGCGCATGAAAGCCTGATTGGGCCGCAAGGCATCTTTCACGTCAGCGCTGGCAGGTGCGCTGCTCCTGGACGGGCTTTGTGCGGCTGGAAACCGAAGCGCGGCAGTTTTCGGCGGGTGTTCATGCATGATGCCACGCGCACGTTACACAATCTTGTTCGCCTTATTACGGGCTTCGATTTGATACAAAAAAAAATACAAATCATTTTTGCCATGATATAAGCGTCGGCGCTTATGGCCGTTATTCAATTACAAGCGCCACCCCAGAAAAATCTTGTTTTATTATAAGCGCCGTGGCGCTTATATCCAGGGTTAGACGGTAAGAGAAAACATTACTCTCAAACATTTTACCCAGAAGGTACAGAGTGACCTTGCAAAAACCACCCTAAACAAGTCCACATCTGAAACTTCAATACAAATACATAATAACACAAACACATGCATACATCCATGCGACCGATTTCACTTATACTCCGACTGTTTTCACTCCATCCTAACCACCACTTTGCCTGTCACATGCCCTTCCATGCTCCTCCTCCATGCCTCTCTTGCCTCTTCAAACGGCAAAGTACCCTCTATCACCACCTTCACCTTCCCCTCCTCCACCATCCTCCTCACCACCTCCAGATCAGACCCCCTGTTCTCCATCATAACATTATAAATCTTCTTTGGGCGACCTGCAAACCGACGCCAAAGCCCCAAAGCGAACACTGAGAACGGCGGAATCACATGCAACCACTTCCCCTCAGGACGGAGAACTTTATCCACAGCAGAAACGGCCAGGCTGTTGGGAGAGCAATCAATCACCACATCATACAGCCCACTGGTAGGAGGTTCCACAGATGAAGCAACCTGTGCGGCATGAGGTTTGGAAAGGCTGATAACAGGGGAAGGGGATGGGGATGCGGAAGGGAAGAGCTGTTTCCCTGCGGCAGAGTTGTAATCAATCACCTCGTCGGCTCCGAGCACGTTCCGTGCGAAGGCGAGGTTGCGAGCACCGACAGTGGCAGTCACGTGTGCCCCTGCTGCCTTCGCCAGCTGCACTGCCATATGCCCCACTCCCCCTGACGCATTCGCCACCAGCACCCGCGCCCTGTTCCCACTGCTGCACCCATTGCTGCTAATACCATTGCTGGTACTCTCAGCCTTACTACTACTGCTGTCACCACTCCCTTCCCCACTCGGTTTGGGTAGAGGAAGAGGCAGGCCAGCATAGTCCCTCACGGCTTGCAGGGCAGTGAGACCGGCGATGGGAAGAGCAGCAGCAGTCTCGAAGGTGAGGGAGGCGAGCTTGCGTGCGCTGCCCTGAAGGTCCAGCACTGCGTATTGTGCCAGAGCGCCCATTTTCTGAGAAAATAAACGAGAGGGAGGATAGAGAAGGTGGGAGAAGTCAAAGAGGGTGTATGGTTACGGGTGACCTGGCCACAGGGTAGTTGGGTATGGGAATAATACACGGGACTCTAAATAAGTTTGTATGTGCATGTTGTCCAGTAAGTTTGTCCAATATGTTTCGAAACGCGACCAATCGCATGCCATTTGCGAGCAATGCGACGCAGAGCAATGAAGAGAGGTGGAGCGTGGCAGGGATGAGTGAGCGTACGAAGAATGGCGCCCTTCCAAAGACCGCCTCTCCCACGATGTACTTGGTAACGCCCGGCCCCACTGCCACCACGTTGCCGGCAAGATCGAACCCTGCATGGTTGCACAAGGCGGAAAACCGAGCCACAAAAAACAAAACCAAGAAGAAGAAATCAGACGTTGCACCGGGTGCGTGCGCTGCTCGCATTTCTGCACCCTGCAGAACCAGGTGCGGCGAAACCAGGTGCGGCGAAACCAGGTGCGGCGAAACCAGGTGCGGCGAAACCAGGTGCGGCAAAAAACAGGTGCGGCAAAACCAGGTGCGGCAAAACCAGGTGCGGGAAAACCAGGTGCGGCCAGAACCAGGTGCGGGAAGAACGAGGTTCCTTGCAATGCTCTCACCAGCAGTGGCGGGGAAGCGGCATGGCAGGAAGGGGATGAGTCCCGACTGTAGCTTCCAGTCGCCCGGGTTGATGCTCGCCGCGCGCACGCGAACCAGCACCTCGCCCTTGCTCGGCACAGGCACGGGGACGCTGTCATTCAACTGGAGAAGCGAGGGGGGCGCAGGGAAATGTAACAGCAAGAAAAAATCAGAGAGCTTGAAATCAAGTGAAATTTTCCGCGCGAACGCGACCCACCAGCTCCAAATTGAGTCGCGTGCAAACGGCGGTGTTCCAACGCTTCGGTCATGTTTATTTCGACCGCAAAGGGCGGCGTCGCGGCGCAACGACGTTAAGATCCGTTCGAAAAAAAGGCAGTTAGGCTCACGGCGGATGTCTGAATCCCACGATCGGGCTAGCTCTCCATCGGAAAGGAAACGGCATGGTGCAGATAGAGCAGTTGCACGTGCGTCTGTTACAAACAACTGGTAAAAAAATGGAAGGGCGGATGTTACTCGGCCGAGGTGAAACGCACCGAGAGAGCATCAGCCCCGCCGCCGTGCTTGAAGTACCGCCACGCCGCCATGGTCTCCGGTACGTGCGGCATCATTTGCGAAGATTAGCGCAGCGCAGCGAGTGAGAGTACGTTGCGAAATGTACTGCCGAGTGAGAGTAGATTCTAGTAGAAATGGATGAATATGCGGATGGGGGATGATCGACCTGCCGCTGATGGACTGCCTATTTGAGCTATTCGAATTGCACAGAAGCATCGTGCAAAAGCGCGGTGCGGTCGCGTCGGTTACCATGTCGTATCTTACGGCCGGAGTAAATAACGGCGCCCTAACGCAATAGAGGAACCTACCTGGCCCAGAGGTAAGTATCAGATGCAACCTGCTCAACGTCAGCAGTTCGGAACGGAATCCTTCGCGTCACACAGGTCGCATCTCAACAATTTCGAGGAATCGCCGGCGAAGCGTGTACGATGAGAGAATCGTAAGTGCATTTTTGTTCCCTGTAAGAAAATT